CATCCTCCAGTCACTGAATGACTAATATGTGGGTTTAGCATTTGCTCTGATTAAATTTAATAAATTAAAAAAAAAATTAAACCTGTGAAATTTTAATTTCTGTCTTAACTCGTCACACAAACTCTCTTCTCAACTCATCACACAAACTCTCTTCTCAATAATTATCTGAGTATTCCCTGGAAGGTAAATTATCCTAGAAGCCTGCAGAGTGCCTTATACTGGCACCACAGTGAATACGTGTATGCCTATGTGCACACCAAGATAAGTCACATGACATAACAGGTGTAAAACAGGTCTATGAATCTGTTACTGGCTTACAGAGGTTAAATACAGTGGCAGGTTTTTGTTATTACAGGTGTGACTAGTTAACCCTTTGACTGTCGCAACCCCCAATCCTGAGGTGTCTCCTGGTGTCACAAAATTTAAAAAAAAAAAAAATTATTTTTTTTTATGAAATGATAGAGAATCTTTTCCTGATTGTATTGACACCAAAAAAAAAAAAAAAAAATTTGATGGAAAACTGACGGAATTACGCTCTCGCGAAGTTAGTGACCTCAGCGATATTTACAAATCGGTGATTTTGCCCACTTTGAGCCCTATTTTCGGCTAATTCCATTGTTCCAGTTGACCAAACTCATAGCTATTTCTTTAGAACTCCGTTTTTTCTATCGATTGAGAACAAGAAACTGCCCATTTACTGATCTTAACTACCCAATAACGTAGTCATTGGGTCATTGGCTCTAAAATAATATTTTCTTTGTTCATCAGTCATGTCTCCAGGCCCCTCTGATATTACTCTTGCTTTCTATTTTGAATTTTTGTTCAAACAAAAAATAGAGGATTTACTGTTATGCAGACTACTGCAATACTGTAATAATTGTATAAATAATGTCAACCCATTCATGACTGCATATTAGAATGGCTAGTTGGACATTTATTGGACAATGACATCATTTGTTTACTTTTGAACATAGGCAAAAATCAAACATTTCCCCTACTTTGAGCTCCATTTCCAGGTTATTTTATAGTAAAACCAATCAAAATTACCTCTCTTTCTGTAACATGTTTTCCATTCTATCAAATGAGACCAAGAATACAACCATAAATACTATACGAAAATAGACCACAAAGTCGGCATTTTAACCCCTTCAGGGTCCAAGGCCAAAATCTGAAGCGGTGCTCCAGTCTCCAAGAAATTTTGAAAAAAAAAAAAAAAAAAAAAATTCTTACAGAATTAAAGAGTATATTTTTGTGAAGGTAATAAGACAAAAAAAAAAATTCTGATCAGTACTTACTGAGATACAGTGCCGAGAAGTTTGTCCAAAATGACCTGGTGGCGGCAACATCGACGATTTTCACATACGCGCATTACTTTATTTAGCAGTTTTTGTAGTTTTTTTTTTCTTTTCTTTTCCTACTTACATTTGGGGCCTGAGAGACCAATGCTGTATATAATGTATATATATAAACTCACTGTATTGAACACAATAACTGCACTAAAGTTATTATCATATTATTGTTTACCACTTTTGTTTATTACAAACATGCACAAATCTTGTATAATACTAATGTTCTATCATATATTTACATATTTACAATCACTGGACATGGTTTTAGAACTGCTGAAGCTTGTGGAACTCCTTGAAACAAGGCACCATGCACAGAGGCACCTTACATTCCTCACACATAAACCGAGTGTCTTTGCGTCTTTGTTGCCGTCGTTTTGTTTGTGCACAGACGATGCATCTCTTCTGAGCAAATTTCTTCTGAGTTGAAGGAAGCTGTATTATGAAATGATCACCTTCCCTCTTCAAACGCTTGGGTATATCCTGAGGAGTTCGAGGACCTTGTTGTATAGCAGGTGTTGTTACCTGGTACTTCATTATTAGTTGTCTGACAACAGACAAACAAAATTCACCATACGGTGGTCTGTTGCCAGTCTTCATTTGATACATATTATATGCATTGAACATTGAAATGTCCATGAGATGGAAGAAAAGTTTCATGTACCACTTGTAACTCTTACGAACACAGTCAACAAAACCAATCTGCATGTCACATTTGTCAACCAAGCGCATGTTTTGTGTATAATCAATCACTGTCACTGGTTTTCAAATACGTTCATTAGTCACTCAATCAACTTTGCCACTGTCTTGCATTTCATTACGGTGAATGGTTGTCAACAATGTGACATCTCGTTTGTCATGCCACTGTAATGCCATGATGTCATTGGCAGTAAACACCTGCACTTTTTCACCACAAGCACCTGCGTTGAGCCTGGGCATATGTTTACGATTAGAACGCACTGTGCCACACACATCTGTCTTGTTCACTCGCAAGAAATCACTGAGTAATGGGCTTGTGTACTTATCAGTATATAATGTATGCCCCTTACCAAGATAAGGTGCCATCGTGCTTCTCACTACGTCACCTGAGATACCCAATAACATCTTGGTATCTTTCAGTGTTTTACTTCCTGTGTATACAACAATATCCAATACCAGGCCACTGTCACAGTCACAAAGTACAAACAGTTTTATACCAAAGCGTTTCCTCTTGCTCGGTATATACTGCTTGAATGACAGTCTACCTTTGAACAAAATCAAAGACTCATCAATTACAAGATTCTTGAATGGATAAAAGTATATGCTGAACTTTTGTTTGAGATACATAAAAACATTTCTAATCTTGTATAACCTGTCACTTCTGTCAGGCCTGGTTTTGTCAGAGAAGTGCAACATACGTAACAGTAAGATAAACCTGTTCACTGGGATGATTTCACTGAAGACCGGGGTAGAAATTAGCTGATCTGTGGACTAGTATGATTTTATATTATGCTTATAGACATGAGGCATAAGCATTATTGTTGCAAAAAGCAAATACATTTCTGCAACAATCGTCTCTTTTCACCGGTGTAGTCTTGACTGTGGTGATATCATCGTATTTGCCATGGTGTACTCAAAATACTTGTTACTTTCCCTGACAATAGTTTCCATCAAGGGCTGGTCAAAGAATAGTTCAAAGAATTCCAGTTCATTTGCAGTGTTTCCAAGGGGACAAGTAGGTAGAATTCCACTTTGAGAGTCATCAAAGTGGTGGGGTTTGGGAACAATATTGGGATTTTGCTGCCAATCCCAGATACGGTTTGCTGGTGGATATGGACATCATAGGCTGGTTGTGCGGGTAGTTGTGGTTGTGGTGGGCTGGTGGCTGACGCTTCGCTTTGTCCTTGAACTGCGGAGTCAGCAGCGTGGGTCCAGCCTGGGCTAGTGAGTCACGCATGGCCGTGGCACTACCATCACCACTACCACCATCTACTGATGCCTGTGGTTATCCATGCCAAGTGTAGCCACATCATCCTCACTATCTATACCTGGTGTAGGGCCATGGGATGTACTCCGTCCCCTGGGCAAGCATAGGGTACACTACCCGAGCGCATGCGGCGGCGTACATACCGACGTGAATATGATTCCTCACTATCACTACTCGAATGATCGTCAAGAGCAATAAAATCACAATCCACATCACTGTCATCATCATTACTGAAGTCAGAGGCTGGCCACGTGAAAATAATAGTTTTCTCATTCACTGAGGTACAACCGACCGTGACTGACGAGTGCCCACACCAGAGGTAGAAGGTTGAGGATCGTCAGGGTTTTCTACACTATTATCGATATCCTGGTCATTCCTTTTGGTCACTAACTGATCAAAGCCAAAGAATTCGTCTTCATTTCCACTTCCATCACTGTCAGAACTATCAGATAGGAACAGGAGAGTCCCAATTTTCCTTGGAGTGAGAGCTGCCTTGCGACGAGGCATGGTGAACAAGGGTAACTGAGCCGGCGTTCCCACAATGCTGTGCGGGCGCCTAGATTTTTTGTTTATGGCGCACACCCACCATGCAGACCCGTTCTCTCACATGTAGGCGTATGAGCATTTTCACGCTAAATTTGACGGCACAAATTTTGGCGTAGATCTACGGTTTGGACACTCAACGTGAAGCCGTAGATCTATGGGACGGACCCTGAAAGGGTTAATTAAAAAAATGATCGGAGTTTTTTTTTCTCATTATGCACTGCATGCTCCAGGATTTTTTTATATGGTGCACACTGACCACGCAGACCCATTCTCTCACATGTGGACCTACCAGCTTTCTCCTGCTTGATTTGAAGCCGCTAGAATTTATGAGTATATATACGTCAAACACGGTACCTCGTAAGACGTATATATACAACCAAAACAGTCAAAGGGTTAATGGTGTAAGTCTGACTGGAACATTGTCATAAGTTTCATTATATTGTGTGCAAGTTATTTGTGTATTGTTGCAGTCACAGTATTGTGACTTGTTATTGTTTCTTACAGCTGGTTCATGGTTCCTTAACACTGTAAATAATACAGCATTTCATTCACCTAATTTTGATATTATATCTGCTGTAACCCACGTGGAGAACTATAACAGGGCGATGTAGTGCTGTATATAGCAGCCTGTATTTCAGATCTGCTGTTGCTACTAATCTGAAGGAGGTTTTGAGTGTCAGGGGCTTGAACATCCAACAAGCTTGTGTCAGTACATAGATTGGAGTGAGTGGAGGCAAGTAGTTTTTGTGACTTGATGTGCTGCCGGAGTGTGAACAAGGTAACATTTATAAAGGTATTCAAGGAAACCAGTTAGTTGGACTTGAGTCCTGGAGGTGAGGAGTACACATCTCACACACTACAAGAGGCATCAAGATGTTGCAGTTTGAAGGGTCATCTGAACTGTGATATTAGCATGCTTCTGGCAAGACAGTAATTGGGTGAAGGATGGTGAATGTGTTTCCTCTTCCTCATGTCACCCTGCCTTAGTGAGAGGCAACCAGTGTGTTAAAAACCTTATAAGTAAAATTGTTGAGGTTGCTTAGTAATGTGTAGAACATGATACTGAAAGAAGCCATTTTTATAACATTGCAGTTATAACAGTGCATTTTATAAATCATCTTACTATGTTTGTTATTTCTTAG